TACATGGGCATTGTTACATTATAGGGACATATGCGGTTCCAAATTTAAATTGTTTCTACAGTGTTTGTGGGGCTGCACTCTTACTTTAACAGCTCGACTCTAAACAAACTTAAGCTTGTCATGATATATTATTCTTATTTATCTTTTTTGTATTGGTGCAGATCCAAGTTAATGGTACGTTTAGATCCGTATATTATGAACTAGTCAAAAGTATAGGTTATTAGGATTTTGTTCTTACTCAACCGGTAATAAATTACGTTTCCCACCTGCTTACGTTTCGATGCCTGTCAGACATCTTCCTCAGAGCTTCTAGATTTAACTGCAGTACTACTCCTCGCCGCTATATGTAGGTGGCGCTTTTGCCCCTTTTGAACACAGCCCCAAATGTGGCTAAGTTTGTATCCCCCCTCGAGCTCGTCCCGGTCCATTACGGGGATACAAACTTAGTCACGTTTGGGGTTGTAATTTCAGTAACTTTTGTAAGAAAACCCGTCCGTACCCAACTGCTAATATTAGACCTGTGGAGTATTGGACTTGGCCACCGACTAAAAGTATACAGATGACTATGAAGTCATGAAAAAGAGGAATATATTTTGAAATCCACATATCATCTTTGATGTTTTCCCCCAGGGTATTTGGACATGTTCAAGAGTCAGTGGGTGGAGGGGATCTGCAGCAGAAAACAGGAACTGGAGAAAAACACCCATCGCCTTGCTATCGAGAACTGTTCAGGTTGGAAATCATACTGTGTTTTGGAGTTTATATATAAGAAATATATGAAAGATACGAAAGAGCCAGCCAAACAGCGACCGATTTTCAGAAGCTAAAAATTCAGAACAGTAGTTAAATAGACCGGCTCTTATCTCCCCATCAGTCACTCTATCTGGTCTTCTTTAACGAACCGCGACGGGGGCCGACATCGTTTACTAGATACCATTGACCCAGTGTTGACGTCACACTTCAAAGAAACCACGTGACACGAAGTCTCGTTGGGCCAGTCTACTGAAGAAGACCAGAGTGACTTTTCGAAAGCTCAAGATGAGAACAATCTATTGTGTTGGAACAGAAGTTTCAACTTTAAACAAGTTTCATCTTCGCCAAAAGCAGTACTTATACTCAATTGGATATGATTGTGGAATCATAACCAGTTGCTTAAGTTACTGCGTTTTGGCGTATCTTATTACCTGGATGTCTAACCTTCTTCGACGTATGTTTCATCTTCCATGAAAAATTTGTTTTGTGTTCTTCAGGAGTCTTCATTCTCCTACTCTCCGCCATCGCGCTGAGTTTGGTGATCTTCTGTCTGGAGCACATCGTGCACAAGTACCTGGTGTTCATCGGCAAGTGGCCCATGTTGTCAGACAGCGACATCCCGCCCTCTCCTGTGTACGAGAACGTACAGGTCAGACTTTCAAGCAGGAGTAGGACAGTGGATAGATTTACCCATGTGTGTTATATATGTATTAACCCAAGTTATATATGTTGATGAAAGCTTAGGAAACTGGTAATTTATCTAGTTTAACTGAAACATGATACTAGTAATCAGTAATCTGTTGGCACCAACGCTTCTCGCTCTATTTATTGATGTAACGTTACACGTTTGTCAAATAATCAATTTTTTATTCAATAATATATCGTACCTAGGTATTTGTCAATATTGGGTAACGGGAGAGGAGTGAACTGTACAAATCACTTGAATATTGTTGCTTTGTGTGTATGGGGCTTAACAGATATATGTTGTAACGTCACATAGTCCCTGTCCTTTTAGCAACGCTGGTAAAAAATATTTTTGCAACACTTCGATTGAATTTTTGGCAATATTGTGGGGCTTATTGCATGACGTCCAATACAAAACTTAAATGGCAGTCGTCGATAAAGGTTATACACAAGAGATACACAAGGTTCAAGGAAATGGTTACTCAAGCAGTTTGACGAATTTTGAAAACTGTCAGATTTTTCAAGTAGCATCCACTACTTTTCGTCAGTGACAAAATGTAGTGGATTCTACTTGGAACGTCCAGCATCCACTATTTTTCGTCAGTACTAGTGTTTGAGTAACACATAATTTTGTTAAAATTGATCTCCCAGGGTACCGGAACACTCCGGATTAACGGCGCAGAGCGGGTAGTGGTGACGGAACACAAGGTAATCAGCCATGGCGGGGACACGTTCGATGACGAATGTCCCGGATGTCAGACGGCTCAGGAGCAGATCCACGCGCTGACGTCACAGGTTCGACAGGGTAACGAACAGCTGCGGAAAGCCTTTACACGGCTGGAGGAACTGGAGGGCGATGTGTCAGCAAGCAGGTAGAATTAGTGTGCATACAAGGCCGTTCCTTGTGTGTTTTACACCCAAGGGCGGTTATACGAGCCATACAGATACAGATCCCTGAAGTCTTCGTCAAGGGCACAGACAAAGTGACTGCGAACTCAAGTTAGGAACAACTTATATTCTCACAGAAACTTTTAAAATGAAAAATAAAGATAATAGCATTTTAAAAGACGTTTGAAAAGTTGTTGAAAAGTCATTATGTACCTTTGTCCTTTCTTCTAATTATTATTACTTTGTTTTATTGTTTCCTTTTATGTGTGAGGAGAGGGCTGACATAAGTTTCATAACCTTTTGCCCAATCCTCGAAAAATAAATGTGAATAAAATAAATAAAAGTTGTTGAAGCGTGAGTCAAACTTCCCATCCCAGAAGAAAGGAAAACAAAACAGGGCACATATAGCTAAAACGGTTTGTTTCTAGCTATGATGTAGTTTGTGTGGCTAACATAATTTTACAGTTGGTGTCATAGGAACAGAGTAAACTACCGCGAAGAACTAGGATTTGATTTTTATGGCAAGGCATTTAAATTAAGCTTTTCTTTTCATTTGTAATACGTCTAATGTAGAATAGTGTCAAAATAGAAAAAAAATAGTTGTATACCACTTTGTAAGCCTTGTACGATTTCATCATTCATGAAAATAACCAAATTTGACAATTAGACGGTCTGTTTGTACAACCTCCTCACAGCGGCCAGAAGTGGTACTGCAGCTTTTAAAATTTATGGAGTATAGCAATTTCCGGCATTTGAATTATGTTACGATACTGAGCGCTTCATTTTATGTTTGAAATTTTTGGCAATATCGTAATTTTAGTAGTCTTATCTGGTTAGGACAATCTGTAAGACATGTAAAGGTTGAAAATTCTCCTGTGGTGTTTTTTTTTTACAGAGAGGTGGTCCCTGAAGTTTTGAATGTTCACAAACTTTTAAACGAAGACGTCACTTCGAGAGTACCGGAACAACCTGGTTCCCCGATGTCCCTTCATCGCGTGGTACTACAACTGACAGCCGGCGATCGGGGTGAGGACGAGGATACCTCTCACGAATACGAGAACCTCGGTCAAGCTGAGTCCTCGGGTAATATCTCCTGTCCAGAAACTGCCAAGCATACGGATCAGGACTAAAGCCAAGAAAACACAAAAGGTCATGAAATTAATAATGATTGAAATAAAGTTCATCTGTGTTTGTAGTATTCATCGTACAATGTTGAACTTTATTCCAACACTAAATGAAATTTTCAACGACCACTGTCGCCTTCATCAGGATGACGCATGACCAATCACTTCACAAGGTGATCTCGCGAGAGTTACGGTTGCAGACACGTGAACTTATTCACGCGAGACTTTACGGACACGTGACGTAAACAATCGTGGATAATTGACCAATAGGATTCGCCGTCAGCGTTACTCCGCCAGCCGTATCGTACTTACGTGTGTAAGACGTTAACGCTTCCTTGAAAAAATTGCTATCGATTTTAATGTCTGATGTAGTGGCGTACAGTTGACAGAGGTGGAGATGTCAGCTGATAGACTGTTCACGGATCACAGGGAGCTATGCGTCAAGTCACTTGCCGGGCGCAAAGTCATCTGTCTCCGTCTACACAACAGTACGGATGTCGTTCGTCAAATTACGAGTAATTACAACCTGTGTGTGCTCGCCCTTCCCCCTGGTACACACCGGCAAATCTGACAAAAGCAGCCGGAACAACAAAGTCACCAGCGCCGTCAAACTGCCAATCATGCCGCGGGAAACAATGCCTGGCTCGCCGAGAGGTCGATATTTCATTTTCTCTGCAAGGAAAGCGAGCTAAATGATGCTGCTGCCATACTGCCATGCTACTCAAGAAAAGGCATACGTTCTGTTGTGACAAAATGAGGCACTGCTGTGCTGTGAACAAGCTTAAGTTGAAACTAGAAAGGTAACACTTGCAAAGCAAATGCATAATGTTTACCTTGATCTGGTCTATCCCAACAAACTACTGTACTGTTTATTTTTACGCAATGCCAAATGCATCCATATGTATAGAGAACACCTTTCTGATACAAAATGTAACACAACACAGGGTGTCTGCTACAGCACCAGTCACCATGGTGACAGACGTCTGGTCCAGGTCATTGACTTCATTTGTTTGGAGAAGAAGAAAAGGAAGAAACTGACAGAAAACAACATAATTTCCGTCTGCGATGGTTAACAAATTTGTAGAGACTGTATAAGAAGGTTCTTAATTCAACAATCATATTTACACTTCTGACGTTTCGGTGACTGACTGTCACCTTAATCAATAAGATCGCATTAGCCAAACGTGTACTTTGACATCAAACCAACAGGTGGTTTTAGAAGAATAGTTTATGCATTCTGATTATACGTACGCCTCTGCTATACATTGTTCTTCTTTTAAAACTTGACGTGTAAAAAGCAGTGTCTGTGTGTAGCACTTATGTATCATATACTATCATGGAAGTTCAAATGTGTTGGCAGTTTCGTGTTCAAAGCTACTAAGGCCAAGGACATCTATGCTCTTGCTGAGCCATTCTCTTGTAACTAACTGCAACTGCAATGATATTGTGTTTGGTTAGATAATGATAGATATTATCATAAAATTCATCTGTGTTGGTAGTTACATGTTCAAACTTAAAACTTTAGATCCAACACAAAAAGTTCTCTCACCTAGAGCTTTCGACCAGTCAACTCTGGTCTTCTTCAGTAGACTGACCCAGTGAGGCTTGTCACGTGGCTTCTTTGAAGTTTGACGTCAACACTGGGTCAGTATACCGAGGAAGACCAGAGTTGACTGGTCGAAAGCTCTAGGTGAGAAGACTTTGTGTTTGATATAAAGTTTTAACTGTAAACAAATAAGAGATATCAGTACTTCATTTTTCCTCAATATGTTAGTTCTGACAGGATGTGATGTAGTTTTCTGCTGAACTAAGTGTTTGAAACAAGTGTGTAATGGTTGTTGCAAAGATAATCATAAAGAATAATCTCTCGACCTTTCCATTCTACAATACATGGCTGTTGATAAAATACATGTGGAGTAAAGAAAAGAGTGCAGTCTATCTGTGTCCATTGTCAAGACCGTATTTGTCATTATTTCCCAACCACCCCCAGAACGTTCTTTGAACTGTGGATCGCTGTCTTCTAGTCTAGAATTATTTCTCTATGAAATATAGTGTTTTTATACGTTTTTATATGTTTCAGATCTACAGTAACGTTATTACATCAACAACAAGAGTCTCCATTTCAAGTATCTGCCAAGAAATAGACTGATCCGGTTTGAACTCGATCGTACGTACGTGCACTGAAGCCACGCCTCCCTTAACAACGTCACCAAATGCTGTTCTCTTATTGGCTGAAACGCTAATTATGATTGACATCCTGGAACGGTCTATTTTACTTCGGTTGTAGTTTGCAAAAGATACCACACGTTACTTCATTGTGCAACATACCGTTGTTGATTTATTTGGATAAACGAAACATTACATTTTCCACTTCTGTGTAAAAAGACTAGGACGATATCATTTCCAGTTAACAGCTAGACGTGAAAACTTCATTTTTGTTTCCATTCTAATTTATTGTCAATTGTTACGTTATTTTCAATACCAAATATTTATGTGCTTAATTTCTTACTTAGCATTTTTCTTAGTGTGGCCGAAACTATCCATGGAAACAAAAGACTTTTTCACGTTCTGCTCAGGCCACATCAAGTAATTTTTATGGATGACATCAACGTGCGCATTAATTTTTGCCTGATTTTGGAAAAAAAATTGTTGCCCTCTAAAGTGGTCAACATGCCGAAAATGGGCAAAGATGTCTGTTGCCATGCCGGAACGTGGATGGCTGATAATTATGAATGGCTGATAATTATGAAGACAGGGGACACATTTAATGTTTTGTCTTTTACTTTGATGAAGTGATGCATTTCAGTCCTTTTACTTGAATATGTGATATTCTCACTGAACCAAAATCATTCGTACAATGATTGAAAACTTACTTTTTTTCAGTGGCAAATGGACGTTGCAATAGTTGGCAGTAAACTTAGCACATTATAGGTACCATTTCTTGTTTAACAAGGTTTATGATGTCAAAATTTTAATTTGTAGGAACCTTGTTTTTTGGCACGTTTTTTTTTCATCCTATTGCATTAGATTTGGAGTCTGCGGAGGATGTCAACCATGAAATTTACGTGCTTTGACCTTAAATACATCGTGTAAGCACCAGGACAAGAAACTTTTTGCTGCTTGACAGCTCACTATTTCAATGGAGAGACGGGTACAAAAATATCATCGCCAGACTTTTGTTACGTTTGTTTCACGTGTACTTCACGACTGTTGGCAACACTGTGAGGGTTAAACGGGCCATCCTCCAATTTTAGTTTCCAACTTACAGGGTCACATTTTTCCGCTAGAGGGCGCAGTGGTACTGACAATAGTTTGGTTGTGCGAAATAGCTGGTCTAATATGAACTTCAAACAGATTTATTTCAAAATGGGGCTTGTTTTTTTTTTTTAGTAAGAAATACATATATAGGTACGGGTGGCATTGCGATATTTGACTGCTTTATAAATTTATCCACAAGATTTGTAGATTTAGAGAAAGCATTCCAAAGGCATGTACTGCGTAAGTACAAGTGCGCCAAGGATGGCCCGTTTTCTCATGGTCAAGGTTAGTTTCTTATAACTGCACAAGATGCTTACGTTTCTTATACCATAAGACAATCTGTCTTCACTAGACAACGTATCCTCTGAGGAGGAATTGTCACTAGAAATAGTAGGACGACATATCTAGGTTGCCTGGTGTAGTTACTGGTTCATACTACTACTCGACCGACCGCATTTTATAAACCACTGAAAAGAAAAAGGCCAGGCAACACTCTGGTAGCAGCTTTCTGTCGGCTACTGTACAATAAAGAAGGATATCAACAAGTCGGGATACTATAGTCATTCAAGTAGGCTCTGATATGTAGCTTGCGGACGGATATTTCACGGAAATTTCATCATCCACAATACAGAAATACGGTCCTCTATTTTCCTATTCTGTACATTGGCATTTACAGGGACGTAGAAAAGGCCCGTTGGTGATGGTACATGGTATAGCAGCGCTTCACACGCTGATTTCTAGTTCCGTTTTCCCCCAGTAGATTTATCGTTTTTAGTACTTAATCGCTGGCCTTGGTACAATAAATTCCACAATCCTTCAAACCTGAGTAAAATAATACAAATAGTTTTGATGTAAGTTCATCATCAAAGGTCTACGACGCAAAACCGTGGTACATACAAATAAAAACCTGATTTTCTCGTATAGTCTCGTCGTGTGGTTCACATCAAAAGCAGGTTGGAAAGTTCCTGAACGAAGCTTGTATTCAAATTTTGCACCTGGTACGAGTTCACACCCCGAAGGCGTGACAGTTTTTAGTTTTAATACCGACGTAAGCGTCTCCTGAGTTTTCATAGTGTCGGCAAATGCTGTGCAAATCCTTGCAGCGAGTCCGTGTTCTTGATGGCAAAAGCAAACGGTCTGGAAAGAACTAAAGACAGAGGTTGACACTGTGATTTGCAAAGCTGCTATGTTCTGCAATAAAGGCAATATCTTCAGCCGAATAGTTCTTCAAAATTAATAATCAGTACAGATAATTTCATTTTTAACGTAATTTGATTTGATTAGGTTTGATGCTGTTGTGTTCGTCGCCAGGTCGTAAAGTAGGGTTCCGGTCATACCGCCGACTCCCGTCTGCCCGGCAGTCTTTGTAGCACGATGCCGTTCGGCTCGAGTTCTTTAAAGGGGAATTCAACGGCACTTCTGGGTCGGGGAGGGTTGTCCTGTCGCAGATAGTTCGCCTGGTGGTTGGCATTGACGTGTTTCAGGAAGGGACTCACTCCTACGACGGTGTGCACGTTTCTCGTCCGAGGCTTGGGGTTCATGGGGAAGGTGTTGAGGTGTAACTCGTGGAAACTCCTCCGCCGGGGGCTAGGCTGCCTCAGGAACGGGTTGGAGAGGGGATGCTGTGGCCGCATGACTGGAGACTGGTGCGCGCTTCTGGACACCCGAGGTCTGTCGGGCTTCAAAAACGGGTTCGGTACGACGTTTTGTCTTTTGTTCGACACCGCGCTCACCAGGTGGTTGACGAACGCTTTCTCTATGGCGTCCTTTCCTTTGGCACTGTCGCTCTGCTCGGTCTCGTTGTCTTCGGCATACAGCTCGGACATGTAAGGTTTGCTATGCTTGACGGAGCTGTAGGCAAACGCCCTGGTGGCCATTATGACGTCCGCCTCCACTTCGGATCTTTTCCTTTTTTTCCTCTTACGTTCAACCTCCTCTCCCTTCAGACAGCCGTGTGTGCCCTGCGAGAGAGAAACAAGAGTCCCGTAATTTTAAAGTTTTTTTTTTTAATTTTCAAAGATTTTCTTTAAGATCTGATTTTTTTTTAATTTTCAAGATTTGAATATTTTGAATGTTTTAATGTTTCAATTTTTTAGTAGATTTTTTAAATTTTAAAAATGTTTTGTCATATACCTACAAGGTTTCCTACTCAGTGACTACAAGATACAGCAAAAATGATATTGACAATGATAATAATAAAAATGATAACTAACCAGTTACAATAATATTGATAAATAATAACAAAAATGTCCAATCGAATGAAAGTTCATCTCTGTTGTTAGAATCCAAAGTTGTAGAGTTTAAACTTAGTTCCAACACAATAAAATTAAGAACTCATCATAAATTGTCGGTCGACCTCGTCAACCTTTGTCAGATGAATGACCCACTCGCCGCTAACTCTCCGGAAGTCGGACTCGTGATGACGTCATGAGTGAATCAAGAGTGGCGGGAATTCAAAGACGGAGTCTCGCACCACCAGACGACCGAAAATTCTTGGAGAGTCCCTTTCTTGTGTTGGAACAAAATCTAAACTCCACAGCTAAAGATTCTAGCAATATTAACTTTCAGTTATAGATTCCAGTAATACTGACCGTCAGTAATAGATTCCAGTAATACTGACTTTCAGTAACAAATTCCAGTAATACAGACTTTCAGCAATAGATTCCAGTAATACTGAATTTTAGTAATAGATTCCAGTAATGCTGACTTTCAGTAATAGATTCCAGTAATACTTTCAGTAATAGATTGCAGTAATACTAACTTTCAGTAATAGATTGCAGTAATACTAACTTTCAGTAATAGATTCCAGTAATACTCACTTTCAGTAATAGATTCCAGTAAAACTGACTATAAAGCTTAAGAGGAGCAACCGGCTTGACCTTCAAATAGCAAACTATTAGACATCTTGTAGGAACTACAAAGTACTTACCCTGCTAACGATTGCCAATAGTTCTTTCTTGTCGAATTCACACCGCTTCAGTGGCTCCCGTAGGCATCTGTAGAAGAAGTGTTCCAAGACCAGGATGACGATGCTGAGGACTATCGCGGCCAGGAGGAGGTAGAACACCCCGGCGGTGTTCTCTATGCCCAGCGGGTGCGTGTCCAGATCAGACGACGCCTGGTTGCACGATCCTGTCAGCCACAGTTCGTGTAGCTCCTCCAGCTTACCTGCATGGACGGGCAAGCGGGCACACGGTGCCATTTAGCGAACGCCTGGTTGGACGTAATCACATAGTTGACAGTACATAGGCAGACAATGCGGCACCTTGCGAGAAATGGACATGGGAATGGATGTAGCAAACGTGCTTCGAAGGTTATGCAGTCTGTCCTCTAGTACTGACTTATGTACAGGGATTACCAAACGGATCGTCAACGTTAGTGAGGACATTTTTCTTCCTTTATGCGGTGTTTTTGTGAGGTAGGGAAAATTCTCGGGAAAAGACTGAACCGCCAAATGGATGGTCCAAGTTAGTGATGACATTTTTCTTCCTTCCTACGGTGTTTTTGTATGATAAATTCTCGCAAGATTGAACCGCAAGGAATGAAGACGGGTTGAAGTCTGCAACACACAAGCGCTAGCTGTACAACACACTCCATGGTTTGTCATAATGCATATTGATACATTGCAACTTCAGTGAACAACAGTGCAGGTCAAACACAAAAAAAGTCACAAGGATCGGTAATATTGTGTGGTCCTTGGTCTGCGGGCAAACAGTCGTTACAGTGGAATAAAAGTCATGATGTTAACATTCATTCCAACCTCATCGTTACCAGGATCACCCCACATGCTTTAGGACTCTGGGCCCGTTTTGATCTCAAAATATGCAGCCTTGTAAACCACCAACCTTATTCAGACATTGCCACGATGGTTAAAACCGCCCATTTTATCTATGCATTATAACTCTATGGATTACTACTGTCAATTCCTTGCCTTCAGCGCTACGTAAAATTGCGTTGCCCTAATTGCTGTTTCTTGTTGCTAAATTATGTTTATCGGACCATCTAAACGACTCTGTCTAAAATGAAAATGACTAAAAGGTGGTTTCACTTCATTGTTATAGTGATGAGGCTAGAAAAGTACATACTGTGGCCCCAGAAAGGAATAGAATGTGAAAATGTGAGAGTTCAGTTGAGGCAGTGCCGCAATTCTGTAACGGGGCTGGCACAGACCATGAATAAAGCATCACACACTGGAGGACAGGGTTTGTCGAAAAATACACTTCGCTTTTTCTTTTTTTGCTCTAGACCGGGGAGTGCAGCACAGCACAAAAATATCGACACGTTTTGCTCCATGTAAAAAAAAGTGAAAAAATGTTGGGGAAAAATGACTTGAAGGGGGACGGCACGAGACGGAACGGACATCCGCATAAAAGTAGAAAACACAAGCCGTACTCGCTAGGTACCACGGGGGTTTTGGAAGGGGCGAGGCGTCACAAACCCCCGATAGCCACTTTGTATGAAGATCTTCTATAAAATCTGTGGGTAAAAACAATAAAATCCGTAAGATAGTCTCCATTAAGCTTTCTCTGGAGCGCACATCTTACGCAAAAATTCACTCAAGATAACAATTCTACAAGTGTCGCTTGAATGGAATGAATTCGAAAAGAACTGTAACGTCATTATACAGCATTCGGGACGAGAGCAGAAAAATAACATATAGTGTATCACACACAAAACCTTCTCTGAAATGAAACAATTTGGTCTGAAATGATAATCTAAGAAAATGTATATTTTTGCTTTCGTTGTAGCAGGTTCCCACAATTAATTGCATGAAAACTGTGACGTGTATTATTAGTATGATATAAAACTGGCAGCTTTAATGTATACTATTCATCGCATAAATTTGTAAAACGCCAAATACGCACGATTAAGCTGTCCAAAAATAAGATGCACTATTAGACTACACCAAGGCATTCGATTAGACACAACTCTTTTGTAAACGAGGTAGGAACGAGAAAACTACATGATGTAATACATATTCATGTATCAAATTTTTCTGCCTTAATCGCTGTGTTCAAATTTGACCCAAAAATAACAGTATGAAACCTAAAATCGATTTCAAACTATCTGCATTCTGTTACAAAGAACTGAAACGAGAATTAGGCTTTTCTAAAGGGAAATCTGCAATACATGCGACACGGTATCAACACAGCTACCGTGTCCTATGAATTAGTATGCTTATTTCCTTATGTCGTGGCATAAGGTAACTTTCCACAAGACTAACCAATTAGTTGATCCCTGAACAGATCATTTTGCACGGCTCACTTCGCCCTGCTGAGAGGGTGCTTTGTTGTCTTCATCTTCTACTAAATGGTTGAAGCATAATTTAGGATACAATGAAGCGGTATATAAAGTGTACGCCTTATTTGCTATGTGGGTCAAAGACCGTGCTATATTTGCCTTACTTTAAGTCGCTTAATCGAAACAGACTCTTTCAGATATTGATATTTCGTGGATACGCTCTGATAACAGCCATTCTGCATGTGTTAAGGTGTTTTTTTAAATGCGAGTTCACCTGCTTGTGGGTTTATACTTTCATGCAGAAAATAAAGACAGAGACTTTTTGTAAAACAAGATGGAATGCAAGCGCAACTCAAATTTCACCACGACATCTCAGAGGTGTACGTATTGTCCTGTGGACCTGAACTGTGACTTGATTCCAGGAAAACATTCATACTGTTTTATGAGATATCCCGTTTCTAAGTAGCAAAGTAAGATTAAAATCGTAATACAATTATGAAGGCGATGCCTGGCAGCGACAGCATAATACAAAACAATTACCACAAATAGATGGTGTTTTTTCGACCGAGTACGGACATAATGTGTTTTTTTTCTTCATTTTTTAAATTAAAAATCCGTCTCTGCCAAAAAGATTATAAATAGTGACATTTTCTGACAAAAAACTGCAATTTTGTGCAATTTTGTTCCTTCTGCCCTTGCTGAAAATGCATGATTCAAACACGTGACATCGGACAATATATTTGATAAGCCTGACTAATTGATGCATATGCGGCATAAAAAATATGGCTCGAAATGAAATGGCCTTGTATTGATTATTCATCTGATGATAAAAATGGGGCGAGAAAATTGTATCTATGCGTCTTAACGTTATTGACAAGCGAATGTGGTTACTCCCTAAAAATCTAGTTAGCCTTGCAACAACCTCCAAAGGAATGAAAATACTGCCTTGTAGTGGAAACGCTAACTAGTGTTAGTCGAAATACTTTTTTTCAATGTTTTCCAATATTGCAGAATGTCACAATATTATCCTGCAGTTTCTGAAATACTGTCTGCAAATATACACTTTTAAGCCCTGACTAAAAACCATACAAAATTGCATGTTTAGTTGGCAAACATTTCACATGCAATTTGAAAAATACATGTATAACTAGTATATCATTAAGTCAGTAGTAAGCACAATTTAGCCCCTAGACAATATTACACACAGACACAATTGAACCACTATCCGTATTTTTTCAGTCTGCAAAATTGCAGGTTGCTTAAGTTTTTCCTCTGCAATATTGAAAATTTTTGCTGCAAAATGCAGACTGCAGATGGGTATTACTAACACTAACAAGTATTTGCCACGTCACCACATATGGTTACTAGTATCGATAAGCCATACGTAAACCTGTAACAGACCTTACCATTAGCGAAATACGAAAGCAGAGCGAGGTCGATATCGTCGACCCACTCCGAGTTCTTGGGAAATCCTATACCGTAGCCGGTGGTGGCAAACACGCTGCCGTGCCCGATCGTTCGCAGCTGGCACCCTTCGTCCTTCCCTGCTTCGTAGTTCAGCACTGCGGCATCGTAGATGAAGGCATCCAGGGTTCTGTTTGTACATAAAGTCAAAGTTTATTACACAACGATTGTAACAGGTACAATGTATGGCAGATAATAAGCTTACTACCTGGTATGAGTATGTCAAAACTTTACTATAGTTCAATGGGTACTATGACTGACAGAATGTTAGATAGCACTACAGACTAGTAGTACATCTCTACACGTAGGTTCTAAACTACGCTGTACTATATCAGTAAAAAGTGCAATGAGAAGTTTTATATATACTGTATATTTTCTATGATGAGTAGCATACAGCATATTCTTAACATCTTTAGAAGTGTCAGAAAAATGGCAAAATCATTCCTGTACTACTTTTCTTTAGAAATGAAACATAATTAGTTTTTGTTGGCATTTTACTTACTTTATTTTACATGATGCACCCCTATTTTTAGGTTGCAGCAGTGCATCTATTCCCAAAAATGAATTACGAGCCCTGGCACGTACGTAGTGAACATCTTCACTATTATCGTGAATCTCTGCCCACTGAACATAATGAAACTGTAATTCTCCACTCCTTTCTTTATTTCTATCGTATTCAAAACTGACCTGGGAAACACATCGCCCAGGGCATTGCTTTGTACTTTTACTGAAACGATTCGGAGGCGAAGCAATGAATTATGGACACGGGGGAAATTTCCATGCCATGATCCCACCAAGCGTTAATAAAAAAACATTCATGAAACTTATGAGTAGTATGTGGCTTTCATAAGCAATCTGAACATTGTATTGCTTCCTGGATTACTGCACAGCATATATTTTACATATTTTTCACATACTCCGTGTACGTAAGACGCGCTTTGGGCTAAAATGGGGGTGATACAGATTTACCTGTAAAAACGCATGTATCTCAAGTTTGGCGCGACAAATCAACTTCAAATTTGGAAGTAACTTAGATGAAATACCACTGATTCCAGATAATTACTTGTTCGGTAGAAACTCTGCATAGTTTTTCTATGATTAATTATAATATTAGATCATTGTGACTCGATAAAATTGGTCTAGACCAAACCCTTCCGCTCAGAAATCTATTACAAAACTTTCCGAGTATGTGAGGAGATATGCACTTTATAGGAATCGGTTTCCAGAAAAGAAGAACATAGCTTAGATTTGAAAATGTTTTGAAATAGAGTCCATTTTGGTAGAATTTTAGGGGTAGCTATTACTTCATCTACCAATGGCTCGATATACGGGGATAAAGTACTTATACTAAAACCGATTCATATAAACCGACTACTTACGCGTTGTTTGCACTCAGTTTCAACTTTGTAACCCAACGGGAAGAGTTTGGTCTCGGGCTTTAAATTTTAAAAGTCTAAATTCTGATATTAATTTTATTCCAGCACTCTTCATCAGTGAAAGTTTACATAGGATTTTCTTAACGAAAAACAAAGGTTCTAAATAAAAAAAATATATAACAGTCAAGTCTAAAATACTATCTTACTGATTCAAGTTCTCTACCCTGGATGACTAATCTTCAAAAACGTTTTACATTATTGTTTGGATTTTTCACATTATTGTTTTTTTCACATTATTGTTTGGATTTTTCACGTTATTTTTTCGATTTTTCACATTATTGTCTGGATTTTTCACATTGTTTTTTTTCACATTATTGTTTGGATTTTTTACATTATTGTTTTGAATTTCATACATAATTGTTTCTTTTCACATTATTGTTTGGATTTTGTACATTATTGTTTGGATTTTGTACATTATTGTTCGGATTTTTCACACAAGATTAAAGAAGCTGCAAGCACATCTGTTCACTATTGTTCGCCCATTAATATAATGATATGCGGCACTTACCCTTGTTTTAATGCGAGGATGGCGTCCTGTACAGATGGTTGGTTGTACCTCATCATGTATTCGTGCATTCTCCTGAAGTTCTTGGAAATAAAAGCTTCGGTGCTGCCGTTAGGTTTTGTTCCGAACCTGAATGAGTGAGCGTATGGGTTGCTGAACTGTGGATAGAGAAAGAAAGAAATCATCAAATTAACGGTGGTAAATAAGAAAACAAAGACCGAAAATCACGCAAGTTTGCAAGCAAGTGGTCGGGTCAATCAATATGTCACATCAAATCACCTCAAAGTTAACCTAATCACACACATCGTCGTTTGAATCAGCATTTGATGTACATGTATAATATACATGTATACTTTGGGCCTTTGAAACTGCAGAAACAAGTCCCAGAATGACTTCTTTTTTACACGGGTGGTACCCTAAACATCAGCCCAGGGCCCTTTCAGTAACCATTTCCGTCAAAATTGTGGGAATATTTGCTCCATGAGGGTCAATATACATTGGGATAATGTGGTTTCATCTCCGTATGTAGATAAATGACTAGAATATCGACTTCGAAAAACCGGGTTTCCTAGCCCTAAAAATTGCACTGGATGCTTTTAACATGACGTTTCCCATTTCCAGGTGTACTCGCACGTAGGGTGACAAGATTTATACCCATCTTCTCTCCCCCGCCGGCCATGGATGAGTACTGACGTCAATGCCGGGATGAAGGCTTCAGGTTAATCCTGACCCTCGACACTGTTTTTATCCTCATGTTCAGTTTGATTTCCGGTAATGTTCCCAACATTGCCCTGAGGAACTCTCAATTGTCCTGCATTATTCTGGGCAGATGAACTGTCATAAACTCGGTTCAGTACGTATAATTTGATTGGATAAGATTACATCTAAAGGGTCTTATTCAGTCACTGGTCTACAAGGATTGGAACTTTTGTCAGTAATGAAAGACAGAAAGTACTGGCGACAAAACCTATAACGCTGCACCGCAGAAGAGGATGAGTAAAGAAGAAGAAAGAAGAAGAAGATTACATCTGAACCACTGTTGCGTATCTGTTGTATGTTTGACTTCTGTGTAGTCAATGTCTTCAAACATTTAATTACAAGGTTCCACTGAGTCGTACCCAAAGACATAGACAATTCTTTATTCCCAGAACTCTCCAAATCATGCAGCAGAAACAGATGTAAATTGAGTTTCAGACTCTTCTTCTGCAGATTATTTCTATGTGAACTTGTCTTAAAACTGTACATTCACATCGCCATATTATATACTATACTTTAATTAATAATGACTTTTAATCATGCATTTTATCGTTGAATTTTAGACTGTTGTAAAATCACAACACAATTCAGGAGTTTCTCCTGCCATGTTGTTTTTTATCAAATAAAGTTCAAAGTTCATGTCGATTGTTTTTTTTAGTGATCCAGTGAATCCATTCTAATCTGTTTTTCTAATCTGTTTTTCATTGGTTTCACAAATGTCCTAATATGTCCAAAGTTTCTCTACTCAGTGTGTCACCCTTGGCCATTTTTGTAGATAAAGCCTGTAACGTATTGTGATGATGGTCATATCCAGTTGGAAGGATTGCCGGTGCCCTAATGACCTATTGCTACACGTAGCAATGTCAGTACCCAGTATAAAGTATTTGGTGTGATTCATTCCTCAAAGCTAACCGACATCTCGTCCCTCGGGAAGATATATGAAGCCGCATAGTTCCCGTTTAGAACTTTTATTCAGCCTAGCTGTCACATAGGTGTGCGAGATGTCGGTTAGCTTCAAGAATGAATTCTCTCTGCTGTAGTCTGCCACAACGTACCCAGTTTCATGTTGTACCAGTCCTGTATCTGTATCTGTATAGCCGCTATAACCGGCGTAACACACAACGTCACAGGCACACGGCGCGGCGGCAGCTATCTAATGATAATGCATGTACTGGTGACAGCGAGTTTCACTCTGCTATAGTTCTAGAAAAGAATGAGTTTTTGAACATTCCAATCCTTATTTGATAACTCTGGTACTTGAAGGCATGACTATTCCTTTGTTTTCTTTTCTGAGCTGGAATTAGGTACTTCGTAGTTGGTACGTCCACCAGTTTATTAGTCATTTTGTACATCATGCACAGTCTGGACATTTTAATCTGTCTTCGAGTGACACCTGCTGTAAACTATAGGTTTCTTTTCATTTCCGTGACACTAGCACCTCTTATCGTAAATATTGTACGTTTGGGAATGCATCCATAGTAGGGACAACTGTGCTGCAGTGCAATGTTCCAACCAGTCAGAATTGCCCTGAGGAAGGTGACAGACGGTCACCGAAACGTCGGCTGTGAATAAAACACTTGGTTGTGTGAGAAGAGTTTTTTTACTCAGTAACTTACCAACCTGATGAAACTATTCACGGACCCCTTATATTTTTATTTTATCTTATTTTATGTTATTTTATGACGATTTACCACATTTGTGGAAGGATTGACATAGATGACAAGATGTCAAGAGACCAGACTGTAAGGTTTGAACCACTCACACTGGGAATGTTCCCTACTCTTTTCGATAAGTGCGGTCGGTTCGTTAACTTAGGTGGGGTGTGGATCTCCCCAAACACGGGACCTCCATTTAACGTCCTATTCGAGGGACGTCCCTAGCCGAAGCTAGGTATTTATTTACACCTGGGTGAAGTAAAGAAGTCGTGTAAAGTGCCTTCTTTCCCAAGGGCACAAGATTCTTGGCATCGGGCAGGATTCGAACCCTCGCCCTCTCGAGTCTGGGCCAAAGACGCTACCGCTACACCACACGACCACACCTTATCGTACCTTTTCGTCCGTCAGTCCTGTGATGGCCTCGGTGTACTCTTCCTGTATCATGAAAGCTGCCAGGTTGGCCGTGTAAGTCGCCAGGAAGATGACGGCAAAGAACGCCCAGAAGGTGATCATGTATTTGCTGGTCGCACCGCGAGGATTTTCAACCGGCACAGAGTTGTTGAAGATCAGGGCCCAAAGAAGCCAGAAAGCTTTTCCCACTGTGAATCTGCCAGCTAGAAAAAGTTTTAAAAAATACAAACTATTCAACTACAAAGGTAATATTTGCAAAGCAAATGCATAATGTTTACCTTCTCACATAATCTTCTATCACACTCTATGAATTCAAACACATTCAACTATATGATGACAGGAGTCTAAATCTCTCCTGCTATAAAACTGCAACATGATGTAATCCAACACTAGTTGCCATGGTGACAGACGTCTGGTTCAGGTTATTGACCTTATATGTTTGGAAAAGGAGAGGAAGAAGAAACAAAGTAAAAACAATATGCTTGCCTTCGGTAAAAATAATTAGATTAATTTTTTATTAAAAAAATCCACGTCAGTCAAAATCAATCCATAAATGCGATGTTTACGAATGCTAGGTGATGGAGGCTTTGATGAAATAGATATTTTCTTTTTCTTATCCGTCCCGGGTTTGCAGAATACATTATTGCTGAGGTCACATTTCCAAACCAGGGCCCGGCCGGGTAGTCTTATGAAACAAAAAGTATGATATAAAAGACAACAAAGCACAAAAAAGCTATAAAAAAAACTTAATAATGGGAACTATTTGTGTATATTCTTAATATGAATTATTGATTTTTCGTTAATCAAAACAGCCCGACCGGGCCCCGGTTTGGAAATGTGACCTCAGCATCATGCTTTTTTAGTCAATTTTTGTCAACTTTCAACTAGTTCAGTTATATAACCCACGTACCTTCGCTTGCTCTTGGTGGAGCGTCATCTTGGAAATATAAGAATCATATTGTCTTAGTCATAGTCATTTAATAATATATACATGTGTTATTTGGTTTCAATCGTCTTTTGTGCAATTGTCTGGAATGAATAAAAGGCCACATCAAGTAATTTCTATAGATGACGTCCTCTGGAGACCCTAAATCTAATGCAGGAGCGCGAAATAAAAATAATAAGGGCAAAAAAAACAAGATGCCTAGATTTGAAATATACTAAGGGACGACAAATATTAGGACACAAATTGAATGAGAGAACACAGTGTTACAACTAATTCTTTTATTCGTCATGAAAACAGCAATAAATCAGTGGAACAGCAGATGTCGTCCTGTCTGGTTTCTTTTCCTCACATCTTCCCTTAGGCCACACCAAGTAAATTTTATGGATGACGTCCGCGCGCGCATTGATTTTGGCCTGTTGCTAGAAAAAAAACAAGAAATTCTGCTCCCTGTAACTATAATCAAAGAGTCACGACAGTGCCGCAAATCATCAGATTGACGTGAAACCCGTAACGCAAAAACAGGACAGGACGACAACTGCTGTTCCACCTGATTTATTGCTGTTTTGATGATGAGTAAAAGACTTCTTACTTGCTACACTGTGTCACCTCATTCAATTTGTGTCCTAACATTTGTTGTCTCTTAGTATATTTCTAATCTAGGCATCTTGTTTTTTTAGGGCCTTTCTTGTTTTTTTTTCGCCCTCTCGCATTAGATTTAGGGTCTCCAAAGGACGTCATCCATAAAATTTACTTGGTGTGGCCTTATCCCAATGATTTTGCAGGCCTGCAGACACATGTGCTCATTTACCGACATCGCGTTACGGGTTTTATGTTAATCTTACGATTTGGGGCACTGTCATGACTCCTTGGTCATAGTTACAGGACTCGGAATTTCTTGGGTTTTTTTCTGGAAACAGACTAAAATTAATGCGCGCGCGGACGTCATCCATTAAGATTACCTGGTGTGATCCTAGTCCCCTATAGTATACAGACCGCCTACTCTCATTATCTAGACAGACCTGAATTACCTATTTCGCCAAATCTGATTGTTGAATATTTCTTTCGTTCTTTAAGTTTTTAATATTACAATTTAATTTTATTGGGGGAAATGAGCTGACTTATTGTTTTTTTCAAACGTTGTTTATTTACCTTTGTTATTGTTATTATTAATTATGTTCTTAAATGTAATGGAGGGGGCACGAATAAGCCTGGAAGCTTTTAACCCGCCTCCAGCACATGAATTTTTCCTACGAAATAAAGTGCTTACCTGACGGGTGAAGGTTTCCGGCGTATCCCTCGGGACTGAAGAACTCGAACGCCATGACGGTGAACGCTACACAGGACAGGCACACCGCAAACATCGCCATCCACGCGAACACGTCAAAGGGTTCTATAAAGAATCAAATCAAGTTTCAAGTTTTATTAATAAAATCAGCCTTGCAGCCAGTTTACAAAGTCGACCAAGCTGAATTACACTGATGTGTACAAATTTTGTACATAGTAGATACAAATACACATTTACATGACAATACATATACAGGCACGTAAACGAACATGTTACAAAATCACACATAAAGTCCAGAGTCTTGAAAGTCATTGCTACAATGACTCGTTGTACAGGCGTATTGCCTTGTGTAGGAAAGAGTTTTTCAGTCTTTTGGTACGGGCTGCTGGTACTGTGAGTGCAGCTCCATTTCAAATTTTATTCGGTAAGACTCTCGCGGGCAAATACCCGACTTACGTCCTTATTACATAAGTACATACCGCATTAAAAACAATGATATGTTACACTCTTCATTGTGCACATCAAACATGGCAAGCACAATATCAAAACATTTGAAAACGATTGCACAATTAAAATCTATACACAATGTGCGGTTATCACGTAGGATTTATCTAGATGCTATAGCACTATTTGTAAATTGTCTTGTTATAGAGGCGACGAAACCTGATTTTAGTAGATAATAATGGACGTGGACGAAATATAATGGATATGTCGTCATTCTAGACCACGCAATAAAGTTGATTTACATATGTTCAGCCATCGAAATACGATGCGGAACCAAGAGCCTACACCCCATCTAGAATTCATTTTTCTAGATACGAACCCCAAACGTTTTCAAACTAATATAAAATAAATGAAATAAAATGAAAAATAAAATGAAATAAAAATAAAATACAACGAATAAAATGAAATAGAATTAAATAGAATTGAATACAAGAAAAGAAAATTAGATAGAATTAAATCAAGTCAAATTAGATAAAATTTAATAAAATTAAAAAATAATAAAATTTACTAAAATTTGATAAGATTTACTAAAATTTAATAAGACTTAATAAGTTTTAATAAAAGTTAATAAAATCTAATAAAATTTAGTAAAATCTGAAAAAAAGCTAGTTTCCTTACTTTGAATGTTACTAAATAAGATCCAGGTTAATTAAAATTAACCGTAATGCATCTCTACAGCATTTATAAATAATATGATCGTGTGTTAGGTTCATCATCATCATCAGTCGACCCCTCTAGGGGACGGGGTTTGCCGCTGCACCACTCCTGCCCACATCTCCCGATCTGCCATGGCTGACTTTAAGTCCTTTAACTGTTAGGTTAGAAATAGTACACGAACCGAGAAATGCCGTGGCCGGCACCACCCCCTTCCTTCTCCTGGTCATGACAGAGATTCCCGTCTCCACGAACGGCATGGAAAAGTCCACCGCCGTCGCTCTCTCCTTAGTGATAGAAATGGACCCCAGGGCCATTTGGGCGTGACCCTTGACGAGCTCGCCTATGCAGCCCGTCCATTTCCCCTTCTCGAACTTGCCGTGCTTGTTGTCCGGCACCAGGTACAGGTCGTAGGAGAACATGACGTCTCTGGCCAGCTCCTTCAGCAGATCGATGCAGAACCCTGTACAGCACATCTTGGTCCCTCCCCTGGCGGTGCGGTTTCTGTGAACATGAATACATACGCCATGTCGTGTCTACAGATGTTACAAGGTCCCTTCGGAGCACATTGATAATGATGAGGTCGCATTTCCAAACCGGGGCCCGGCCGGACAGTCTCATGGAACGAAAGATACGGTATAAAAGACTACAAAGCACAAAAAAAATTGAAAGAAAATTAACAATGGAACTATTTGCGCACATTCTTGATAAAAATTGTTAATCCCGGTTTGCAAATGTGACCTCAGCATTACTTTTTGTTGCTTGGACGGGGCATATCTCAAAGATGAAACAAAAGGGGTTGACTAGGTACTGGATGACTTTTTGCCTTCAGTAATGGTTTTAATATTGCTTTTCCTTCCTTTTGTTTTTTATTATGTATATTTTTGTGAAATTGGGATACTGCATAAAGTTTAAAAAGATTAAAAAGAAAATTGCAAAATTAATGTAATGTAATCAAGTAATGCTGGAGTCTAATTCTACATTTCTAAGGTCCGGCCGAGCTGTTAGAATGAAGTTATGCTTAAAATTATCTTTTAAGCCTTATGTGTGTTTTGTGGTCTTTTCGTATCAATTTTTTGTTCCCGCAAACTGCCCCGCCGGGCCCCGGCTTGGATATATATAAATGTGACCCTAGCATGAGGCAGACTGCGTCTAATGTATATGTTTTGTCTGCCTATTTCTTGATAAAGAACAGCAATGTCTGCAAGCTTTCCGCTGCAGCATTCACATGAGCATCACGATCTCTTCTCCACTTTTCACATGCAGCGATTCAAATTCTACCGTCGACTGTGATAACCTTGGGATTTGGACGCGCGGCAGTGCATGCATATTAGGCAGCGTTATACCTTGTTACGAAACAGACTCTCGCCTTTTCCAGCAATTTCGCTGCGAAGCATTCGCTTGACTCAATTGGCACGCCTGTGCTTTTAGTGGAGTCGAAAGTACTCTTCAGTACTTTCAGCAACCAGTACAACTTTGGGTGTGTGGGGGTTGCAATCGTCAAGCTATCTTTCAGAGGAAAACAATTACTCAAGTAACTGGATATGATTTTGGAAACGGTCAGACATTTCAGGTAGCATCTACTACCATTCGTCAGTGACACTGAAGATATTTCAAAATCAACACAAACTATTGCTTGATAAATACAGTTTTTTGGTAGTCTAATGGAAAACAAAAGCCAAAGAAATCTATCTTTCAGTTAGTGTGAAGTATTGTACGACTGGTTTTAAATTTTATGATGATTCCAAATGGAAATGTTCTTCCCTGACACTCTGGTCTTTCTCAGTAGTTTATCTTTGTAACCCTGTGATGACGTCACACTTCAGAGAAGCCACGTGACAAGTCTCACTGAGTTATTCTACTGAAGAAGACCAGAGTGGGCCCCAGTGATTGGTCGAAAGCTCTAGATGATAAAATTTCCCTTTTTTGTTTGAACAAAAGTTTTACATTTAAACATGACAGTGTAAAAACTACCAACACAGATGACGTCAAAGAGGTTCATCAGTCACGTAAGATCAACAGTTAGTATAATATCCATCAATCAGTGATTGTTTTGAAAGGTAGCAAACACGTACCTCCAAATTTTTATCAAATTTTCAAATCTCGATTTAGTCTCGTGTTCTCGCGAGACTAGGTCATTCCGTGACCAAGACGTACAGTGGACGTCGAAAATAATTTGGAGGTACGCGTTTGCTACCTTTCAAAACAGTCACTAATTTTTGAACATTATACTAACTGCCAACATAGATGAACTTTTATGATAGATCCATGACGAAAAGACACAAACAGTCTTTTGTACCCCGTGCGCTGAAGCTATCGTCTAAGACCTGATCGTCGTATATAGTGGTTTTATGATGTTATTCTTCTATGGTGATACTGATTTTAGAATGTTTAGCTGTTCTTGATGTGATAAGTTTTTATGGCTTCACCACACCACGAAGTGGTGTGGTGAAACCATATTGCTTTTTCTGATGTTTCTTCTTCTCCTCCTTCTCCTCCTTCTTCTCCTGCCATTTTTTAAATGGATTCAGCTTCTTCATTTTGGGGCCTAAGGTCCTGAAATTTGGTATGGAGGTACAGTGGGCAAATACCCCCAGGCGTTTTTTAAATTTTTGTGATACAGGCTTTTAGAATGGTTTTATTTGAGCTTTTTGGCTGTGTTATAGCAAATGTATTACTGTGCTGTGTACCACGTTTGGGCATGAGTCATCACAATGGAATGCAGGGCATCAACCAATAGGCATGCAGCTTTCCTCTATTCTTCTTGCTGATTGGCTGTTGGGATTTAACCTGATTAACACCTGCACAGAGCATTTTCATACTGACAGTATGTCTGTATTCAAGTGTTTTGGTAGGTATTTCAAGCTTTCCTGCTCCAGCATTGGAATGCGGGGCATGAACGTTTTTTTTTTATTTTGAAAATCAACAGTTTGCATTATGCAATTAAAAATCCTAACCAATAATGTAGGGAATAGCTATCCAACTGTTGTTTTAGTTGTATGTTACTTCATATTATAGTTATATCAATGTAAATCATTGTTTTCCCTTGTGTTTCTCATTCTTTCCCTACCATGTCGTAAAATGTGGTGAAGCCATCGCTGTATTTGCTCCTAAGCAAATATTGGCCTTTCTAGTTTATGATGTATTTTATCGCTAATGATACAGATATTATAGGATTATAGGATCTATTTGTAATAACTGCGCGCAAGTTGTAAATACTCGACATATTTCATGCACTTAATGTGACATGCCAGTCGATATTCAATAAATCGACTGGCATGTAAAAATGAATCTGAAAACTTCTGAATCTAAAAAAATCTATATTAAAGTTCTGCATCGAAAATTCCATATTAATGTTCTGCAGCGAGATTTCTGTGCATGTAACTCTAGTTATAAATCAAAACACTTTAACCTGCTTAACCTAACCAGAACGATGGCTCAAAAAGCTTTTTCTAAAAATGGGTGTGGCCATTAACGAGTGATGACGTTATCTTGACGTCAAGTCAAATTTGCATTAATTATCATTTTGCAACAAGGTACTCATCTTCAAAATATTAGGGTCTAAATTTAATTCTAAATTCTGAATCTGAAAAATTCTATATTATGCTGATTGTATTTACATTTTCTTGCACTCCACAGTGTTGTGGCACTCTCCGGTGATGTCTGTTTCGGTGACGGTGATGAAGGGGTGCTCCTGGACGGCCACGATACGGATGTGTTTGTCCTTAGAGATCCCGTTAGGAGGAGTTGCCTTGTTCCCTGGCCATGTCACGCCCTCCATGTACAGGCTGTCTTCATTCCAGCTTCCAACCTAAAAAAATGTAAAAAAAAACTAGTGTGAAAATGCTGCGTTATCTCATTATATTTAAACTTTATTGCAAATACATGCCCTAGGGATAATTGCAATTACAATGTATGAAAAAAAAGATACAATGATATGACTATGAACGAAGGCTATACTATGTCGCTAATGCGGACAAAGATAAAGAGAAAATATGAAATTTATGAAGAAATATAAATATTGTTTTCCATGATAATTGAATATTGTTTAGACACTGTAATAAATATCAACAAACGTAAACATTAACTGAATATTTATCATTTGGACACCATAAAATTTAAACAAGCATGACTAATAGTCATCATCATACGATGATAAAAAAGTATACGTACTTTTGCTAATATATGCTAAAGGCATGTTGATTAACATCCAGATTGCCTTGTTATACATTGTAACTTAAGTCTTCGTGTTTTGTCATAGATAATGAACAACAGGCTTTTCATTTATAAGGATCTTCTACTTCGTGTTAGATATATAGAATCTGGCAGTTGTGCGTGACGTACATAAACATAGCCTCATCATTGTCGTCCAGTATTTAACCACACATAGATAATCAATGTTGACATCATAGAACCACGGGTCAATAACGGTCAATAACCTCAGCCTACGTGCTAACTAGCCAACCAGCCAGTCAGCCATGAAGAGCTTCAAGATCAAGTTCGATATCTACATGAGGCATCACACTAGCCCCTACGTTGATAACGATACAGGCGTGAATTTGTATGCCGGGTCTTACATACACCTTGCATCGTTCAAGATGGAGGAGTGATACTACTGAAGAACCTGGGAAGACTTATGTTTCTTGGTATGGGGATAAACCAGGTGGCGGGTTACGCAAGTTCACGGCACGCACACACACGAACATAACATATCAGTTTTATGTCGCAGGCATACTTATTGTTGCCTTCGTCAGATATTGTTGCCTTCGTCAGATATTGTTGCCTTCGTCAGAAGGGTATGTATTCATCCGTAAATAATTTCATCAGGTTGGTAAACGAATGAATAGCAAAGTTCTTTGATCACAACCATTAATTTTTTACAACCCGACGTTTTGATGGCCGTCTGTCATCTTCATCAGGGCAATTCTGACTGGTTTGCTGTGCACTGACACTAGATGTTACTTGGTGCATAGTGCACTATATATAAAGGTGTTACATATTTTACAGTGCACTGTTGCTTGGTTCACAGTGCACTTAAGCTAGTTTTTACTGTTAACAATGCATATTTCCGAACGTACTGCAATTGTGATATGCATTGTTACATCATAGGGACATATGCGGTTGTAAAGTGTTAAGTGTTTCTATATATAATACAAAATTTGTTAACTAACAATACTGAGCTATCGCAGTCCCAAATAGTATGTATTCAGTTTGGCCCTGGTAGGACAGCTGTGGTGTGGGTCCGTATGTAAGTCTATAACTCGATTATTTGTCGGTGGATTTTTTTATCATTTTTGGTATGTGGGTAGCTGTTGTGGATATGAAGGTTAAGTTCAAAAATGGTCCACCTGGCTATTTTCAATCGTACTTCAGTGGGCTTTTTGTGTATGTAACTCTAGTTATAAATCAGAAAACTTCAACATATTACTTAACCTAATCAGAACAATGGCTCAAAGAGCTTTTTTTCTAAAAATGGGTGTGGCCCAAAAACGAGTTATGACGTCATTGTGACGCCACAAAAATTGGCATAAATTATAATTTTACAACAAGGTACTCATTTTCAAAATATTAGGGTTTAACTGTGAACCAAACGCTTATTTCCTATACATTCAAAAAATCCCCAGACACCATTTTACACTACCTGATGCTAAGGTCACATTTCCAAACCGGCCGGGCTGTTTCGATTAACGAAAAAAAATAAATAAATATTTTATGTCAATAATATACGCAAAGAGTGCCCTTATTAATTTTTCAAATTTTGGGAGTTTTGTTGTCTTTTATAACATACTTTTTGTCCATAAGACTGCCCGGCCGCGCCCCGGTTTGGAAGTGTGAACTCAGCATGTACATGTTGTATGATAAATCCTATATAGTATTGGGAAGAAAAAAAGAAACAAAAACATCTTCATAGCATTACACTACGATAGGGGCATCTACAGCATTTTTTACTCTATCGCCATCGGCAAACTTAAAAGCTAATATATGCTTAAGGCGTGTTCATTAACATCCAGATTGCCTTGACTCAATATAGACAAAATTGCAAACGATGCCGTTTCTGGTAATGGTGAGCCGTCATAACAAAGGAGTCAGTCGTTAACAGGGAATGGAAGAACGATGCATCCAATGATTGCTTTGACGCGATGCCTGAATTACGCTCATAAACAAACTACGCACTTGTTATCCGCGCAAACCTACATCACAGAAACAAAACGCTTCTAGTTGTATGTGTCCTGCTCTGCTTTCCCTCTCTTCTGGGATGGGAGGTTTGACTCATGCTATCCATAGTTGTTCAAATGTCTTGTAAACGCCTTTTTGTCCATTGTAAAAGTGGCTGCGAGAATATAAGTTGTACCTAACTTGAGTTCGCAGTCACTTAGTCCATGTCCTTTTATTTGTATTCATCACTGTGCTTCTGGATAAAAAAATTACGCACTTTATGTTCCGGAAAAAGGCATGCTGCAATCCTACCTATTTTAGCCCTTGTATAATTCTACCTATTATACCAATTGCAGTTCACAGCTCTGCGCACGGGTGTTCCACAGCCTTACACTTTCCTTGGCAGATAAATCGTTTGGTAATAAATTGGACACACCTCGGGCGAAGGCAATCATGTAAATGGCAGTATCTTTATCACAAAATTGGATACGAGCAGAAAATGTCAAGAGTTGGTTGCCAACAATGATCACCGTCCGAAATACCAATAGATTTGCTGTCATTCTGGTAAAGCACCAGATGTAGTGAAAGCCAGGGCAGATATTTTTTTAAAGGAGTGGTTCAATGCAAGGCATATACGACCACTTCTCGGCATTAAACTAGAAATATGAGAGAAACATGGCTATGTCAAGAGATGGCGGTGAACGTTTGATTTGAAAGCCTGTAGATTTTAGGTTGGAGGGAAACACTTGCCAAGGAGGGAATTCCAAAGCTTGGCCGTACGAGGAAAGAAACTCACTGTAAAAAAAATTTAGAACAAGGAATTTGGACGGTGATTTTTCACCTCCCCTGTGAAAACTGGTGTTCCTACCGTATCCTCTACTCTCATCATCAGAACGCCCTATCCAGGGACATTACAATTACAGATATATGTACATGACTCCGCCATTTCCATTCAGTCAATAAAGAATACCGTAAAGCACCAGATGCAGGGGAAGCCAGGGCAGATATTTTCACCTCCCCTGTGAAAACTGGTGTTCCTACCGTATCCTCTCCTCTCATCATTAGAACGCCCTACCCAGGGACATTACAATTACAGATATATGTACATGACTCCGCCATTTCCATACATTCACCAAAGAATACCGGAATTAACAACCCTATTCTCGAAGTTAAGCTGTGAAAACTGGTGTTCCTACCGTTTCCTCTCCTCTCATCATCAGAACGCCCTATCCAGGGGCATTACAATTACAGATACATGTACATGACTGCGCCATTTCCATAAATTCACCAAAGAATACCGGAGTTAACAACCCTATTCTCCCAGTTAATCACTTAGATGGGAATGCATAAACATGTACGGGAAACGACGCCAACGAGTACCAGACAGTTTGATGTATAAAGGTCTGTCAAAACTATATCTATGGGAATGTATGCGTGCGCCTACGTAAAACAGACGCATTCAGAGCAGATGAAATACTAACACAGACACTGGGGGATTCACACTTGGCTAATTAACTACAAAGGCAGCAGAGGTTAATCAACTTTTGTAGCACGGAATAGTTATGAACAGTTGTTAGAATGTTTGTACAAAGTCAGCAATCTTGGTGGAGATTTACACTAATGGGAATAATGACTCTAAACAATTATGTAGATTGATATGAAGATTCACTATATAGAAGTATAAATTGTGTAAGAAATAAATGTCGTTTTTGATTTATCAGTCAATGATTTATCAGTCAATGATTTAACAACAAGTTGCCTCTAATCTTATCATAAGAGTGACGAGCAAAGTCATCTATTACCGGGACTGGTTGAGATTTGCATTAATGACAATGAATACTGAATCTAAACAATCTTTTATACGGCTTGATTATATAGATATGAAATAAATAAATATCATTTTCGGTTTATAAAATCCTCAAGATAAAATAATGTACAATTATTAGAATGTACAAAATTAATTAATCTATCAATGGCATTTACATCAAAGGAAATACTAAATCTAAACAACAATTTATACGGCTGGATTATATATTTTTAGTTATGTATATAGGTTATGTATGTATAATTTTAAGAACCTTAAGGTATAATAATGTACCATTATTATAATGTTTGTGTAACGTTAGTTATCTATCAATGACATTTGTAATAATTTTATAGATTAATACAGATTGCTTATATCGAAATATATGTCACAAATAAATGTCAATTTTGATTAATAAGATGTGATCAATGATTCAACAACAGACTACAGAGGTTGCCTCTAACCTCAACATATACAAAAAGAAGCGTGTTTTTATTATTCCAATATGTAATCACGTGAAGGCGTGGTGACGGCACAGTCATGTTTTTCAACTTGATGATGACTGGTTTATTTCACATAAAAACATACAATCACAAAAAAGTCAATGATAGCCTAAATGGCTGAATTGCCGACCTCTCACAATTTAAAAGTTTTAAATCTAAAACTTATTTTCAGGTCGAAACCAACACAAGACAGTACGTACAATTTTCACCTGAGTGAAGTGGGAGAAAGTCGTGGTAAGTGCCTTTCCCATTTTAGTATGGACGGTGCGTATAGTGAGCTAGCGTTGTGACTATCGTGGGAGACAATCAGTATTCCGTGCTAACAGCCTCATAGCATGCACGGATAAACAGAGCCACCGAAAAAGTTGGACGGCAACAGCTACTTTTAGATTAAGTTACTTCGCAGACTGGAGTCATTGCAGTGCTGTGAGAAAGTAGATTTTAAATGGCTATTACACCAAGAGCCAAGAAGGAGGACCCCATCTAAGAGTCACCGTCTAAAAATATAAGTTGGCACGGAGGTGGTTATATCAAGCAAGGTCAAACAGTACCACAGCCGAGCGTTATTTTAGAGTGCCGGTTGGGTATTGACCCCGAATTGGGCATTTTGCAGTCAATACACGCAAGGAGACTGAGACTGAGACTGGGACAGGGACAGGGACTGAGACTGTGATCTTTTGAAATGTCATGCGAGGTAGTGTGTAACGACAGAGCGTTCGGCTCGGGACCAAGAGGTCCCGAGTTCGAATCCTGCCATGCCATCAAATCTTGCGCTCTTGGGAAAGACATCTACACGAATTTCTTCACATAACTCAGATGAAAATGAGTATGTCTGTTGCCCGTACGTTTGTCTGAGTTGGTGGCGGCATAGAAATAAGTTGGAAAAACTTGAGTGTGCCACCGCCATGTCTTGTAATAAATGTTGGAACATTAAAAAAAAATACCATAACAAGGCCGCTGCATCTGCTGGCTTAAAATGTATCTTCTGGTCTGTACTTTTTCCTGTTACCTGTTGCTACCTCTGTACATGAGAATCTTTTTTTTGCAACTCAAGAAGGCAATATTTGCCCATTTTGCATCTGCTTTGTACGATTTATAGTGTGGTTGAAAACGTTTTTTTAATTGATGCGCGCGGATGTCATCATTATAATCAAATCAACATGTACTTGATGCAATTTTCGACTAGACGTAACTATTTAGTTACCATTGCTGTATGTTTACTAACAACAGTAACTAGAACTTTTTTTTTAACGGTATCGCTCAATGCAAGGCCAATTATATTTGGCCACTTCTAGGCATAGAGCTAGAGGTACTTAGGGGAGTATATTGTAGCTATGTCAGGAGATGGCGGTGGACGTTTGTTTTGAAGCTTTGTAGATTGTAATCGGACGGAAAGCAGCTGTTTGGAAGAGAGTTCCATAATTTTGCAGTCCGGGGAAAGAAGCTGTTGTTGTAATATGACTTGGAGACAGGTATGTCAACGGTGTATTGATGAGAACTGGAAGAGAACCTAGTGGCACGCTGAAAGGTTCTGAGTGGAGGAACAAGAAGTGCAAGTTCTCCTGAACATCGACCTGAACTAACTGCTCAAATCATACATACGTGTGTGTATTGATGAAACTCGATAACTTTCGTACTATAAGCTCCATCTGTTCTTACATTTACAACTGTCTTAAGAAGCGAGAAGAAGCAGAACCTGTACATATGTAGTTTTACTATAGATATATTTGAGTCTACCGTCGCTATTTACCGTGACCAGTTCGCAATGAGCAAAAATGTACAATAAACAATGTTATATAAGAAAACGTTTAAGAAAACAGATATTCACCCGCTCCCATAGCTTCATCCCGTCGACGTTCATGATGTCAAACGTGCTGATAGTTGTGGTGCCGTCCTTGTTAAACTTTATATCCACGTCTTCTATTGTTGTACTGGTAAGGTATCTGAAATTCAAGGAAATATTTATATTAGATGCATGGTAATATCTTGACGGAGACTCAGCCGGCAGATCTTTCAGTGGACGCAAAGGACGGTTACTATTTGGCCAGGCAGTATCTATAGGATATCCATGGATACTGCCTTGCCACCCTATGATCTTCTTGGAGATTATAATAGTTTTCTTCAGAAATGCAGATCGGATGAATATCCAAGTATTAGCAAACGGTCTTCTTTATATTACTGCTGACGAAACATTGCCAAGTTTCTGGCGACAATCTCTAAACTAGCTCGGTGATTAATAAAGGGTTGATGCCCCGCTCCTAGGTGTATATGGTGCGAAAATCCATACTCCGGTGCAATAACCACCGAATAAACCACCGAGTGAGCGTAGCATTAACGTTACTATCATATAGCCTAACCAACTGACAGTTATTTGACACGAATTCAGTAAATAAGTAAATAAATACAGGAAATTAAGTAGTACTTGTCATAATGCAGAAATCAAATCAAATGTAACATAGCTGATGAATAATAATAATTTAGGTTTAAACCAAAATTGATAATGCATAAAAGTAACTCCTGGTCTGTACAAGTCTTAACACTACCTGTCAGTGTCATGTCTCCTGTATAATGTTACGGTCCAAAAAGTGGTCGGTTATTCTTATAACCGACCAGTTTTGAGGTTACAGCCTGAGCAATGGGAAATGGAACCTTCTGATTGGTCGACGTCTTCTGGCTGTATGATAATACTCGGTCGATATCGTCAGCATGTTAGAAATGATCTGGTTGCATTGCACGATGGTCAAAAATGCTGTTAAAAATCCTCACTTGGAAGTCATTAATATTAATGAGAAATCGGTGTCAATCATTCATTTCAATGTTGGCAACAATAGCTGATTGGTTCAAGCTTTAGCGGGCGGGCACTTGACATGTTTTGGTAATACCTTGAGTCACAATTTTTTTTCATCTTGTTTATTTTTTATTTGAATTTACCACGTGTACAAGTATACAAGTGAAAGGGAGGACAAAACAGGTGCATTGACACTTTACAAGTTGCCCTCCCAACACTACATGTACAATGCAAATACAGATTATTATTAGAATGAATACAAAGCAGATATACCATATTGAACCGAATTCCAGATGATTAAGCACCCTTCGGAAATACGTACGTCGTAAACCTCTCCTGAATGTGTCATTATCTGAATGATTATCAGTCTTATACACCTGATAGATACGGAGTCAAAGGGGGATGTCAGAAGTAGGACATTACTCCGCCACGATACCCCGATATGCCATCAGCTGTATCTGCCGTTAGGCAACCGCTAGATCCATCATACTGACCCGCTTGTCAGGAATCTATCTACGCTGGATCAATGAGGGTAAAAAATCCCGCCTCGGTCGGATCAAGAAGAAGCACGATGACCGATAAATTGTATTGTAAGTAAAGATGAAGACATTTCATCGGGTTGACCGGTCGCCCACGCAGAGGTATATTAGAGCAGGCTCCAGGATGACGTGCCCGTCTTGAAGGCATCCGGTGTAGTTTTTAGGGGTTTGAAACCAGATTTTCAAAGTGAATATTCTAGTCATTTATCTACGTACTGAGTTGAAAAAACACCTCTCAATTTATGTCAATATCTCAATGTATATTGACCCTGATAGAGCAAAAATCCCCAAACTTCTGACGGAAAATGGTTCCTGGAAGGGCCTTGGGCTGATTTGTAGGTCACCGTCAACATTCTAGTCACTTATCTACATACAAGAATGTCCCGATGTACAGTATATCGACATTCATTGAGCAAAAATGTCTAAATTCTGACAAAAACGCTTACTGAAAGGACCAGCATTGATTTTCAGAGTACCATCCAGAAAATAAAGGTCTAATCTTGGGGCTTGTTTCTGCAGTTTTGATGCTTGAAGTATGATACATGTATACTGATTCAAATGTGCTAATGTGGGACAGTTTGTGTCTATATCGTACAGACATACATTATTCAGAATATTTCCAGATTTTCCACCCTGAAATTGCATTGGATGCCTTCAAGCCCAAATTCGCGAATTTGGCCTCCGGAACTCTAGCCGAGGTGTTCGGAGAGGTCGGCTACAGTTGGGCTGCGCCACCCGAATGTTTTAAAACAGGTCTTTAAAATGTTTCAAACATTCGTGGGGCGTTTGGGAGGTTCGATCGTAGTCCACACTGGTTTTCGACCTTAAGCCAGCAAAACATGGGTCAAATTTTATTCAAATTCAACTCAAATTCGTTTAGATTAATATAGAAAGGCAGGCGTGTTCCCGATCGCGAACGTCGCCCGACCCTGGTCAGGGAAAGGTCTTGAAGTTGTGACAGGGGCTTTACAATACAGCTACATGTATCATATCCAATATGACTTGTGCCGTAACTGCAGAGTGCTCGTCACAGAACCAAGAGGTCCCGAGTTCGAATCTTTCCATACCACCGATCTCGTGCCATTGGGAAAAGCACGTTTTATGACTTCGGGTAAAAAAAAACTACTGTATTGCTTTTAATATTTCAGATTTAATGAAAAGCCATAGTATAACACATATAATATAAGAAAGCCATATGATGTCAGAAATACTTTCATGCTTCGGCTTTAACCTCTTCGGCTCTAATCCCGAAGGCAATATCGTAACCTTTGCTTTTTTCGCCGTCTCAAGTCCGAACGCCGTTAGCTCAAATGTCATCAAATGAAGAGTGGAGATACATTTATTACAAAGTAATGCAGTGAATATGATGGGCTATAGATCAACCACAGTAACTTTAACATCGTCTAGGAGTGAACTCTTTTATGACGATTAATTGGCATTGGGCCAGACCATCGATATCGAGCCCTAGTTTTACCAAACAGTTTTCTAAAATAAACGCCCTGGTTTACTTTTACGATAAACGATTGATGATGAGCATGAAAGATATACAAGATATTCCTGTTTTTATGTTTACCGAGGGAAGCATACTGTTTTTGCTCAGGTTCGCCCTCTCCAAACACTAACCTCTGACCTGGCCAATGACCTGTTGGTGACGTCTGTCACCATGGTAACTGGTGTTGGGTTACACAATGTTGCAGTTTCATAGTAGGAGGGATTTAGACTCTTGTCACTCGTCACCATATATGTGAATGTGTTCGAGTAATAATTAACAGAGCAGACTATATGCAAAAGTAAACATTATGCATTTGCTTTGCAAATGTTATTTTTCAAGTTGTCATAGTTGATATTGGCGTCCGTAAAGCTGTGTACCCGAACCAAATACAGTTACGTGTTGAGGATGGATATAAGATTTCTACGGTACAACAAAAATAAATGGTAAAGTTGCTCAACTCTAAAGCCCTTGTCACACATTCAGAACTTTCCCCCCGAACACCAGCTGACCAACGTTTCGGAGCAGTCTGTCCACGCCTACGTTTTTATACTAGTCGAATTTGAGTTAGATTTGAGTCAAATTTGACAGCCAACCACGCCCCGGAATACTCAAACACCGGCCTCAAACACTCAAACATCGTCCAAGGCCCCGCTGTAAAGCAGTGCGTAGCCACTGAGAGGGTCACGCTGGTTAAAGAAAACAGAATTTAAAAATAAATAAAAAAACTCCCGAATGTTTTAAACATTTTGAAACAGTAGCTATTGCTGAGGTCACATTTCCAAACCTGGGCCCGGCCCAGTCAAGGGTGACATATAAAAAACAAAAAAGCATGAAAAGTTTTAAAACCTAATAATGGGTACCATTTTCCCATATTCTTGATATATATTGTTGATTTTTCGTTAATCAAAACAGCCCGGCCGGGCCCCGGTTTGGAAACGTCACCTCAGCAAGACAGGGAGCTTGCTTTTTTGATGTGATACTTTTGACCAGAGTTGTTTAAACTCCTCACGAAGAAGCGTCCTCACCTCGGCGAACCATATGAATGATTTATGGCGTAAGCATTTTTTGTGTACACTCGTAATAAAAATTTTCGTTCACACAAACAACCCGGTCGGGCCCCGGCTTGGAAATGTGACCGTGACCTAACAGGGGCTCGATGTGATACTTTTGACCAGAGTTGTTCAAACTCCTCACGAAGAAGCGTCCTCACCTTGGCGAGCCATATGAATGATTTACGGCGTAAGCATTTTTGTGTAATACTATACTCTTAATAGAAATTGTTGATTTTTCGTTAGCGCAAACAACCCGGCCGGGCCCCGGCTTGGAAATTTGGCCGTGCCCTTTTGATACTTTTGACCAGAGTTGTTCAAACTCCTCACGAAGAAGCTTCCTCACTTCGGCGAACCATATGAATGATTTATGGCGTAAGCATTTTTTGTGTATACTCGTAATAAAAATTTTCGTTCACACAAACAACCCGGCCGGGCCCCGGCTTGGAAATGTGACCGTGCGCTAACAGGGGCTCGATGTGATACTTTTGACCAGAGTTGTTTAAACTCCTCACGAAGAAGCGTCCTCACTTTGTCGGACCATATGAATAATTTATTGCGTTAACATTTTTTTGTGTATACTCTTAATTAAAATTGTTCATTTTTCGTTCACACAAACAGCCCGGCCGGGCCCCGGCTTGGAAATGTGACCGTGCCCTAACATGGGCTCGATGTAATACTTTTGACCAGAGTTGTTTAAACTCCTCACGAAGAAGCGTCCTCACCTTGGCGAACCATTTGAATGATTTATCGCATAACCACTTTTTGTGTATACTGTTTTTTTTGTTCACGCAAACAACCCGGCCGGGCCGCGGCTTGAAAATGTGACATCAGCATGACAGAGGCTTGCTTTCTTGATGCGATGCTTTTGACCAGAGTTGTTTAAACTCCTCACGAAGAAGCGTCCTCACCTTGGCGAACCATATGAATGATTTATCGCGCGTTTGTTCTACCGAGATAAGGCAGGATACGCAGGAAACGTTCTTATTTTCCACGCCGGGCGGGCCGTAATGTTCTCACCGGAGACGATAACACCCGCCAGGGACGGAATACGCGCCCATAAAACTCCGCTTGG